CAAAATGCATACATAGGGTACAACCTCTAGCAAATGTCTAGTGAGAACAATCAAGACTAAAGCAAAAAGATATGGACTTAAGGTTGATCCTTGATGTAATCCAATAGAAATAGGAAAATACTTGATCAACCCACCTTGTGTTTGAGTACAAGTAACAGCTTCTACCTACATATCCTTCATGACTTGAATATAAACATTATTAACCCTTCTTTTCTAAAACTCTCCATAGCACTTCTCTTGAAACTTTATTATATGCTTTCTCTAAATTAATAAATATCATATGAAGATCCTCCTTATTCTATCTATACTTCTCCATCAAACTTATCAATAAATGTATAGCTTCTATAGTAGACCTACTCGGCATGAATCCAAAATAATTTTGAGAAACATTAGTATCAAGTAGTAACCTATGCTCCATAACTCTCTCCCATAGTTTTTAAATATGACACATTAACTTAATTCCTCTAAAATTCGCACAATCTAGTGCATCACCTTTATTCTTAAAAATAGGAATCAACACACTCATTTTTCACTCATATGAAATCTTTTAATCTTCAAAATAATATTAAAATTTTAGCAAACAAAGAAATTCCTTCATCTCCTGAGCATTTCCACATCTCCATTATAATATCATCAAGTCCAATAGCTTTTCCACACTTCATTTTCTTTAAAATCTCTCTAACTTTGGTTTACTAATAAGCTAATAAAAAAAATCTTTATTTTTATTTAGGATGCAAAGGTCACTAAGTTAATCGTATTCTCACAATCTTCATTGAAAATTTTAGAAAAATATCTCATCCACCTTGGTTTAATATCCACTTCTAATAAAAGTACCTTTTTATTTTCATCCTTAATGCACTTCACTTGAGCTAAATCCTTACTACTCCTATCTCTATGTTTGGATAACTTATACATATATCTTTCAGCCTCCGTAGAATCTAATCTATTATATAAATTATTAAAAGTTAAAATCTTTGCATCACATATTGCTTTCCTAGACTCCTTACGGGCCTCTTTATATCTTTCCCAATTATCAAAGTTTTTCATCAAATTTTCTTATTTTTTATCTTTTCTTACACATTTTGATTCCACCACTAATTATTTTTACTATTATGAGCTTTTCTCTTTGATACTTTAAGAACATTTTTTGCAATATTCTTAATATCACTAGATATTTTTTCCCACATAACATTAGCTTCCTCATGCATAGACAAAATTTTAAGATATAGAATCTTGCTATAAAAACGTTTTACTCTATAAAAACGTTTTACTAAAAATATAGAATCATATTTTTGTTCATACTCTTTAAATGCCCACATCTAATCTTAAAATAACGTTTTACTTTATTTTTTATATTTTGTCCATTCATCTTAACATCCAAAACTAATAAATGATATTGGATACATAAACTTTCACTCAGAATAACTTTACAATCTTTGCAATCTAACCGATCTATTTTTCTAATAAGAAAATAATCAATCTGAGTTTTACTATATACATTTCTTATAAGTGATTAGATGTCCATCCCTTTTCTTAAATAAACTATTAACAACTACAAAATCATACACTATAGAAAAATCTAATATGGTCTAACAACCTTCATTAGTCGCTCCAAACCCATAGTCATCAAGAATGCTTTTAAAATCAATTACCTCTCTACAAACATGTTCATTTCAATCTCCTCCAATAAAAACTCTTTCTTCAATAGAGAAAAGTCAAAAAGAGCTAAAAAATTCTATACCTCAATTTTCGCATCTCATAAAAATTAAATAACATTTTTAAAACTATATGTATATATATATATGTATATATATGTATGTATGTATATGTATGTATGTATGTATATATGTATGTATGTATATGTATGTATGTATATATATATATATAAAAGTATATTATTATGCATAAGTCATTTTACTAATTTAACTATTAATCATAAGCTTTATTTAATATTATTGTTTATAAACTATTGTACTGTTCATTCTTAACAATCTCCAATTAATTGGTCATGCAGCAATTAGTCTTAAATCAATTCGATGTAATATCTTTTTTATAAAATACTATATATTATATAATCACTCAGATATATATGCTTCTAAGTATCAAAAAAATCATTAAGCATCCTTGACACCATAACATAGGGCACACGGCCGAAAGGGTGAAGGAGAAGAAAAATAAAAAAGTTAAGACTTTTGATATAAATATCTGATTTGTCGTATTATTATCCAACACGATAACTATAAATCAAAATGTTAGGCTTTAAGGCTGGTATGAAGTGAGATTAGTTTGATGTAAGAGTTCATTTGGAGATTTATTTTATTAGATTTGAGTTGTAAGTTAGGAAAATATTATAATATGAGAAATCTTTTTTTTTCATTATTTCATATAAAAGAAAAAAAATTAGCGCAAGCTTGTTCAGTTATTAATTCTCAATTGGTTAATATACTATAGAGGAAGTTGAAGGAAAATTAGAATTATAGAGGTCAACCTTGGAGTCTAATGATTTTCGTTTGAGTAGATCTAAAACCGAATACATAGAGTATAATTGTCATAGTAAAAGATATGGTGGGGGTATTCTGACTTCGGGCGATGAAGTCAATAAAAAGAGTATACGTTTTAGATATCTTGGGGTCTATTATTCGAAGTGATGGTGAAATAGATGTGCATATTATTGGTAGAGTTCAAATTGGATGGTATAAATAGAAGAATGCATTGGGCCTATTGTGTAATTGAAAAGTACCCCTCAAACTGGGAAAATTCTATAAGATGGTGATGGAACCTATAATACTTTATAGCTTAGAATGTTGGTCATTAAAAAAGAATCATAAAATAAAGTGTTGCAAAGATGAGGATGCTCAACTGGATGACTAGCTTTACACTTAGAGATAGAATGTGAAATAAGAATACAAGTGAAAAGGTTGTAGTAGTTCCAATGGTAGATGAAATTAGCGAGTCATCTTAGATGGTTTGGAAATAAATCGTCGTCCTTCCGATGACCCGGCTAGGAGAATAGATGTATTAAATCTAACATATATCAATAAAGATAGAGGTAGACCAAAAAAGACTAGATTAGAAAGTATTAAAATGATCTTCTTTGCGAGATTTAAACAAGAATTTGACTCTTAATAGAACACAATGGAGAAATGATTCATGTAGCCATCACAATGTAGTGGGATAAAAGCAAGATGTTGTTGGTTAAGATAATAAATCGCTACTTTGTGAAGTAAATATGGCTAAGTTTTTTGCAATAAATTTTTTATAAATTAGCATTACATATAAGTGATGTATTAGAAAATTTTCATATTGCAAAGTAAATGTCTATATACTGACATTCATGATTAAATGATCATGCATTAATTTTAAATTATGCAAGAACATGTTTGAAGTATTATGAATATTCTAACATTTTATTAAAATAACATATTTTAAAAGTAGGACATCCAGTACATACGATTTGTACACTGATGCATAATGTCAATTAAGCATGTCGACATAGGTATTAAGCATTTAACGATGAAAAGCCAATGACCATAGGTCATCTTTGTCAGACAAGTTGGCAATCTTTATAAAGACCTATATAGGCGGGGCAATAGGCTTACAAGGTGAGCCCCTTGGGAGGAAATGATCCTCAACCTCTAGATATTGATTCAAATAGTTCAATAAAAGAAATTACGGTTGTAGCTATGGATTGAGATACAATGACATATTCTAAAGTTAATAAATAAATAAATAAATAAAATAGATGTTATATTGTTATTAATCTACGATGTGGACACTAATATATTTGACTAGCATTGTGCATATAATGATTGAATAATTAATATTTCATTTAAAGATCCCTTCAATAAGATTACCTCAGTATTATATCATGCCATTATTTGAGTAATTTTATTTTTACAATGTTCATATGTTATATGCAATGCACTATAGACTAGTCTATGACTATATTTTAATATTATCTCAAATTCATAATTAAAATTCCATTTTATTCCTTTCCCGAAAAACTTGAATTTTCTATTATAGTTGTTTATCATATTGAGCTTTATAACATACCAAATTATTATTTTAGTTGCTGCTTCAGGTGGAGCGAAGAGTAAAGTTTAAGCCTGAGTGAGGATCAAGTTTGAACTTACTATTCTATTTTTTGATATTTAGTTTTGATGTAAAAAATGAAACATGCTACGCCAATGTTTATGATAAATTCTGAATTTATATAAACTCTGATATTTAGTAGAACATCAGCAAATAAATGAATGGAATATTTTGAAATACTTTTGTACAATTGACCTGTAGTATCTTATTGAATCAATATGAGTTTAAGTTGTGTTTGAAGATAGGTTATCACACTATACTATAATAAGTCTTCTAAGTTCGGAATCCTTTGCCCCCATTCAGTCCTGTGGTGCTACAATTGATAGGAATCTGATTTTTCAAAATCTTTTCTTATCAAATGAAAGCACTGGCAAATTACTAATCCTTTCTAGGTCTTCAGCAACAATTAAAACTCGCAACCCATGCTTCTTCATTTCATTTTACAAGCCCAAGCCATTATAACCCAAATTTTACCACCTCTAATATCATTACTTCCTACACTATAGAATGGTATGTGTTAAAGTTATTGATCTACTATAGCTAACATGGCCTTTTATTTTTTGTTTTTTGTTTTTTTTCTTCTGCAAACTGTAAGATCGGCAAAAATTAATTGTTATAATTATAATATTACAATTGCCCGCTTCAGCCTCAACCATGTTCTCCTGTCAGAAAGTACATCGGAAATTCATCTACATCTTAGCACTTTTTCGTCCTCGTATTTATAAATAATGTGCATCATGGTTATTTTTTGAAATTGGTTCAAGAATTTGTTTACTAGTTATCAGCATAATCTTAAGAGGAAATACACAACTATGCAAAAGAACTATACTAATATTATTTTGAGATTTTAATGACCCTCTTGCAACAACTTTTTGTGGATAAGATTACTATCTAGAACAAGAAGTTACCAGGCTCTCGATCCCACTTCCAAGACCTTCAGAAATTCCTGACAACAAGTCCAAGGAGCAGACAATGAACTCTTTGTCATATTGAACACCCGCTGAAACATGATCAACCTACAATAAAAGTGACAATTATATGCTCATTAACCAAAAACAAAAAGTTACCTAATTAGGTCCATAATATCCATAATCAAGAAACATCTCATTGACAAGAAAGCATTCGAATAAAATCGTCCAAAATAATGGGATAACTAAACTTTCCAGAAAATTGCCACTTCAGAAAAAGTATAAGAGACCAATTTAACAGGTAAATCATCTAAATACAATAGGCATAGATGTTACTAGTAAAAAGGTGATAAAACATCCTGCTGACCAAGTTGATTATCCAATGCAACAAGTGCCTTCTGCCCAATTAAACAGAAATTTTCCTTCAATTAAGGGAAAACAAAACCATCACCACTTGCAAATTTTTTAACCAACATACTGCATTGCCATTATAAGCATGATAATCTTACTGTTGAAAGGATCCAGCCAACAGTAAATATTACTAAACTTCAAGACACTGATGCAACAATCTGCCCGAAAATGTGATAAAAGTGTAGGATAGTTCTTGATAGAGAGAGAAGGAATCTTCCAGTCTCGTCCACATAAAAGGCCTATTAATAGGCATGAAAAATTAATATGAATATGATGAGGACATCGTCAGCGATTTCAACACATGTACCATCAGGAGACGCCGGAGATCGACGGCCACGATCATGAATTGTATTTTTAGTCATTTTATGTAGTAGTTTATTTTATTCTATGTTTTTTTCCGCTTTTGCCCTTATGGATATTTGGTCGCTATTGTAGCCCAAGGGGCATTTTAGTCTTTTTGTTTCTTTGTCGTTTTGAGGCCTATATATATGGCTATTTTCTCATGTAAGAGCAGTTTTTGATGAAATGAAAGTTTACTTTGTGTTCTCTTTGTGAGTGCATCTCTCTCTCTCTCAAATCTCTTAGTGAGTTTTGGGAAGAGCTAGATCTCTTTGTGAGTTTTAGACCTTCTTCCACTTTGTCTTTGTGATCAAGTAGTGTGAGAATTCAAGGAGAATCCATCCGGATCGCATTTTTCCGTAAGCTCCCTCCCCTCACCCCTTTCCGCCCAGCATTTGCCGCCGCCTCTCTCCTAGCCCGCTCAGGCCGCCGAACTCAAGGGCACCGCCTCCCGCCGGCCAGCCACCCTCCACACCGTGGCCGCCCCTTGCCTCCCTCCTCTAGCCATCTGTTCCCCCCTCCTTTGAATTTCAAAATTTGGAATTCAAATGTTTTTATGAGCCATTAATTGTTTTCTAATGTAGCTCCCTAATTGACGCCATCAATTTAATTGAGTTTCAAATTCAAATTTGAAATTCAATTTGTGTAAATTGATTGTCCTCATAATTGAAAGTTTTCTCTCAAGAAAATTGAAATTTTATTTAAAATTTTTGTCAAATCTGAAATTAAATTGGTCGTCCCCACTTATTCAAAGCTCACACCCCTCTCTCCTCCTCATGTGGCCGGCCCCCTTAATGGGCCCTCTCTCTCTCCTAATCACATTAACAACTCCACTAAATCAGCCCAAGCTTCTCCCTATTGCCCCCCCCCCCCCTAAACCCGTATTGGAAGTAATTTGAATTCTTCAAATTCATTCCCTCCCACACAAATAAACTGAAATTATTTCAGATTTCTTTCAGTTTTATTCCTGGGAGCCTTTCTCTATTCAAACTTCTCCAGTACTCAAGCTAATCCAAGTTTCCTCCACTAACCCGCCACCTTCTTCCTCTCTTTTCCCAATTCTTTTTGCGCTTCTTCCCTCCCAACAAGAATGTATGGCGGAACCCGAATGGAACTTTGGATTTGTGCATGGCGATCGAGATCAAGTTGACATCCTCCAATCACCATTCTTTGACGTGGGCTTTGATTTCGACGACACCATTGAAGATTACATCGATCGTATCCATTACACCTTAGTTGACGTGATCGACGAGCAAAGGTCAAAGGGATGTTGGATCATCATTGGACGACCGTCTTCCTCCACCACTCCGGCCACCTATCTAAGAGCGACGATCCTAGGTTCCTTCTTTCTCGTAGCGACCTCGATTCTAATGTGGAGACTCTTCTTCCGCTAAAGCCTAGATTATTTGAGCGTATGGGTTCCAAAGGATATATATATATATATATAGGGAAATAATCCCCTGCAAATTCAAAGTAAAAATGAAGATCTTTTTAAGATATGAAATACCATCCTTGTCATCACCAACGTGGTAATATCATCCATATCGCGAGAAGTAAGAAAGATTTGGTATCCATGCAATGAAAAAAAAGATGCAAATCATGAGGAATAGAATAGCCAATATTATTTACAATGTTGCTGAGCTTTGAAAGCCAAGCTCAGGTGGAATATTTGAGACCACAAAGATCACTTCAAAATTGACAAATTTGTCTAATGGAACATCAAGCCATGTAATGGGCACAGACACGCTTTATTTTCTAGATCACCATCAAGGAAGTTACCTCTGACATCCATGTAAAAAGGATGCCAATGACAAAGAACAATAATAATGAGAGAGCACATAGACGTAAGATGGCCAACAAGAGCACAAGTTTCAGCAAAGTCAACAACATGCTCTTATATACCCTTTTGTCAACAAGATGAACTTTACGCCTCTCAAAAGATAAATCAAAGCGATTCTTGATTTTATATATCTATCAGCTATCAACTATTGATTTTCTTGCAAGTAAATCCACTAAATTTCAAGAGTAAATTTGATGTAAGGAATCAAGTTCTTCTTGCATAGCTTACGACCAATCAGAAGCAGAACAAGCTTCATTATGGGTGGGAGGCTAATTAAAGGCAGAGATTCCTAGTTAAGAATAATAATTTTCATGAAAACAAGATGAAGGATTACCTCTAATAGAACAAGTAGACTAACAAATAGGAGGGTAATAATGAACTGAATCAGTTGTTTTCTCAAAAGTTGTTGCTGTGGCTAGATCATTAAAAAGTGGCAGTTCTCCAGTCTTAAATCAAGCTAGTGCATTGGATGTGTCATGCTCAAACAATTTAGTGATTTCAAGGGATAATTGAACAAGAAATCGAGAGGAAAATAAAAGAGAAGGGATGCTAGAAGGATGAAACTAAGTGAAGTAAAAGTAGTATTTTCCAAAACAATTTAATATGACAAGAAATTTCAAGACATTGTGAGAAAGGATCACAACAGTTATAGTATGAATGGTGAACATTCCACCCAAACTTAAAAAACTCGACCTTTCATGTCATCAAAGAATATAATTTGAACCATCCAGAGTAGTAACAGCTGGATGAGAAAACTTAAACTTGTCCATGAGAGTATGGAATAATTGCAAGTAGAGAACTATGACAATAACACACACTACAAGATCTAGATCAACAAATGAATATACCATATTTATCAAAAATGAATGGCACATCACAGTACAAAGTTTCTTGCAAAGCCATGGTGCACAGTACGATCCATGCGATTTTAAACATGGAGCGCAATATAAAATAACTTTAAATAAAAATTGGATTAATATAAAATACCATTAAATAGCAAACAATAAGTTGATTTGAGCAAGATTTAAGTATAAATATCTTGCCAAACAGCAAAAATAACAACTTTAAATTCTACATATAATTAAATCAATAGATTTGAGAAAGATTTAAGCATAATTTAGCCTAAATCCTGCCAAACAACAAAAAAGACAACTTAAATCCTAAAAAATTAAATCAGGTTCCTTCTCCATTTTACTTTGATGCAATGTACTCGAAGAAGCGCATGAAAGGGAAGAATGATTATTACCATTGCTGCGAGCACCTAGTGACTTCTGATTTGAGAGGAATATCATCGTCGCAGGAGGAAAAGAAGCTTCCTTGAGCAACTCTTTCAAAACTTTACTTCAAGTAAAACACATGAAAGGAAAAAAATTGATCATTATACTAGATTACAAGCCCTCGTGACTTGTTCTGTCATCGTTGGAGTTGAGGCTTCCTGGATTGACTTTATTAGAACTCTACTTCACGGACACATGCAAAGTTGCACCAGCAACAACGAAATGACAACAAGAAAAGTAAATTTTTTGATATTTTATTAATGTGATGTTTAATTAATTAATAATTAATTTTGATATATATATATATATATAAACCAAAAAAATCAAATATATTTTATAATTTATAATATGCTAACATCGCATGTGTTATTCGCACCTTGTGCCAAGCTCCATGCATTGCACAAATAGCACACACTATTTTAAACACCTATATTACGCCAAACAAATTACACCGTATGTGAGTCGCACCATGCACCATGGCAAGTGTCATTTTGCACTATTGACATGTATAGAACAAACCTTCACAGTACTTAGATAAGTATTATATGGATACTTTTATCTCAAAAATGTCGATAGTAGGAGGTTACATCTGGAAGACTACGGTTAGTGGTAAGCACTAGTAGTGGTGGTCCAAGATACAATAATAGTTGGATGAGCAAACTTAAACTTATCCATGCACGTACGGAATAATTATATGTAGAGAACTATGACAATAACACTACAAGATCCAAGATCACCAAATGAACAGATCATCTCAACACTTAGATAAGTATTATATGGATACTTTTATTTTAGAAATGTCAATAGTATAAGGTTATGTCTGCAAGACTCGGGGTATTGGTAATCACTAGTAGGGGTGGCACAAGATCTGGTGTTGATCACTACAAATGGTGACACTGATTTGGTTTTAAAGGAGAATGGCTAGCAAACCACATCTGAGTAATGTGGTGTGCTTAAGGTTAGCACCCTTGTGGTTGCTAAGATCATCATCCTCAATTGCAACTAGAAGAAGTAGATGAAAATAAGAGAATGGTGAAGATGGTGTATATCAATTAGAGGTAATCAATCAAAACACGTGGAGATTAGCACAACACCAAGATCTTTACGACCAAGATCTTGGAGCAAAAGATAAGATGTGCTGAGGGGAGATCAATTGTGTGATTTGTCATAGGAGAAGAGCGATGGAATGGATGAGCAAATAAGAGGGGAGACGAGTTAGACCAATAAGATATGGAAGGCGA